GTCTGCATGTCAAAATGCCTGCCGCTTCCGCGCAACTTCTCTAGATGAGTGCAGGCGGCTTTGAGTGGTTTGCACTGTTTGCAGCAATAAATCATATTGTCTGGACGAACAAAACTGATGCACGTGCCTTCCGGAAATATAATGTGACATCGTAACAGCAGCCAGTAAAAAGGTGCACTTATGGGCTGAACTAGACTTTCACAGCCGCCTGAAACGGGTGAACATAAATGACCATGTATTAAGCGGAACTTTGGCACCTGTGGATTTCTTTCTACGCGCTGACATGCCGCCAGCCCCCATAGGTTTGTTGCGGATGATGCTCTCGAAGGAGACCCGACGCTCGAGGTCGCTGGAGCGGCTGGGTCGCGTTGAAAGGCAGCGCGGCCCCGGGGACAGTGACGCTAAAGTTAAATGCCGTTAAACGAAGGCACAGGGGCCGTATTCGGACTCATTAAGTGGAACTGTGCCATACGGGAACCGCTGAAAAGTTAATTTAACCAGAAACAAAAAGCCAATTTTACAAATAGAGCCATTTATATTTTATAAGTTTAAAAGTATATAACTATATGAAAACAATACTTTAAAGCTCCTGAAAATTAAACCAGAAGACAAGAAAGGGTGTAATACGGGCTCTTAAAGACCATCAAAGGTAGAAATAAAATAAAAAATTGTAAGAAATCGACATTGCTGTAACTTTTCGGCTGTGATGGTGGTGCTTGTTTGCTAATTAAGGTAGTTTTCAGGCGTTTCCCGCCACGCTGTAGTGAAATATGTCTGCATTATTGCGTATTAAAACCGAGGACACTAGACACGCCGGTGTATCTTGCAGTTAATACAGCAAAATTCCAGAAATCTCTTATTTTTAATTATTTCTACATTTTGATCAAGTGTTTATTCGACCGATTATTATCGTGAAATGTAGTTCAATAGTGTTGTTCGGATAATTACAAGTATCCAATTCACTCATAATGACCATGATACCAGAGAATGTTCACGTACATCTACTAAGGACACTTTAGTGAGGCCGGATTAAGAGTATTAATTGCCCCTGGGCAGCAGCGCACATTACGTCACGTCATAAGAAACGGAGACGTTTGGTGGCTCAGGAAATTCATAAATGCGTCTAACACAGGGAAAATGCCACACAGGCTTTTCAGTGAGTGCCATTTTAAAAGGACAATATACAATCATATCAAATTTATTAGATACTAATCGCATTAACTTGTTAAAAGACATTCCTGAAATGGACCAGGGGGAAGGGGGGGGGGCTTGGAGGGCTGCTCTGCTCCATGCTCCCCCCCCCCCCAAGATGTGGTACCCATGGGCTCATGCCCAAATTTCGATTTACTAAATGCCCTTTAATATCTATAAAAATCAGTAGTTATGGTTGTTAGGAGCTGAATTCCAGGCATTCCCCTAAACATAATAAACATCTGACACTGATGCAAGGTGATGTATCTTTTACAGGTTGCAGATCTAGAGTCCTGACCAGTTGCATTGTGAAGTTCTGTCTAAGGAATAAGCATTTAACCTAGGTGATCTCACTTAAGATCAATAATAATATGAACATGAACTATTATTAGGATAAAAGTGTAACCTGTCATATTAATAATAACATGATTAAGCTTTTGAGTGAAAACATCTGTTTTATGGCTCTTTACGGCACGAGAGGACTTGGTCTCCATGGTCACGGAGGTGACTGGGTGACACGTCGGTCCCGCCTCCTCAGTCTCCCCAAGCTTGAGTGGGTTGGGGGGTGCGGGGGGTGTATCTCTGTGAGCCGGAGGTCAGTCCAGCCCCGAAGGGAAATGAGATTTACAGAATCCCCTGCAGACTCCTGTCATTTTCAATTGCGATTATCCTGCTCTGCTTGACCTGAGCAGCAGGTGCTGGAGGAGTGCCGGACAGGCCGCTCCACCACCACCCCTCCCCGGCACACGTTTGCTCTCAGACTGCAGTTTTTTGCTGACATCTGTGACCTCCGGCGTGGTAAGTGCTAAAGTTTCCAGTTTTGGCTGGGCTGTGATTGCGGGCTGTGGGTTGCCCGGTGAACCCTAAGGGGTAACACCCAAAGCTCAGAGGGGCAATGCAAACAAACATTTCGTCCATGCAGAATAATTAATCTGAAACCGTGAATGTGAGAAATGTTGAAACTGCTGGTAATCTGTGTCTTCGCTTTGGTCTCTGATGAAAAGTGCAACCTGTACCATCACCTAGTCTGATGTTAAGCCCAGTTTAACAGTCCAAGATGTTGTGTGATGCACTTAAGAACTACATGTAGTCCACTCTCAAGGGAATTAATGTGACTTTAACCACAGTGAACCAACAAAGATGATGCCTTATGAGACCCATGAAAACATCTGGGGTGTTTGTGAAGTGTGAACTTCATGTAGCTGGGAGTGACGTCACTGTTGGGTAGTCAGACTTAATTCTTCATATGCTCATTGTCGAACATCGACCGCATGGCACGTGTGTTCAGTTGAACGTCCCACGGTCTGTGTGCTGAGCAACACTTGCGGTTGACGTCCTGATGAAGGCACGCGTAATGTGACGGAGGGCAGTCCTCAGGTCTTGGTAGGTGGGGTCAGTGTAGGCCCCTCCCCCAGCAGGTCCTGTGTAGACTAAGAAGAGTGTTGCCAAGAAGTGATGGCCTAGAAGCTTCTGAGGTGAAAACCCTAGTAGGTCATCGGCGCTGCCCCTTTAAGCCCCAGAACATGGCTTCAGAAAATGAGCACCGGAAATAACACTGAAGACCTTAGCTAAGCGAAAAAGGGATAATGTTCTAATGAAAGAGAAACACTCGAACAAAGGCGTACTGACGCGGGTGCGAGAAGCTTACACCTGTGAATACAGAACCGGCAATCCAAACAGTGGCATGTTTGGGTCTTGCTAAGTATACTTTCTGTATGAGGATGAAGCCATTATTTAGTCTGGCACAGTTTCATGAGGAGACAGAATGAGAATTAAGCCTTTTTGTTCCCTGTGGCTCCTCCAAATACCAGACCCCAAGCTTTCGGATTGGCCGGCCCGGTCCTTCCCGTCGGACGATTGGATCTGCGAGGGAGACCCTGAGGGACCTGTTTGGAGCAGAGCTCATTCCTCATGTCTAGACACAGCACTGAATAGTGGTTGCTGGGGTGGGGGTGGGGTTGGGGGGGGGGGGTCCAGCGATTCCAAGGTGCAGGAGATCAAACGTGGCTTGTACAGATGAAACGATAGGTAGCCTGTCAGATGTAGCAGTGACCGGTTAGAACAGAAGGTCTGTGGGAAAGTTTAGACGTGATTACGCAGCACTGGGTGTCTGTGGGGGTGTATGTGTGTGGGGGAGGAGCGGTGCATGAATATGAATATTATAAAAATCTGAGTAAATTATCCCTGATGTTAGCGAGCATTCAGGTCAGCACTGTGTCGTGTCTCCCTGCTGATGCGAGTCCCAAGTGACCGAAAGCGTGCTTTTACACCTCTGCTGTTTCTATTCCGCCCGCATGGTAATTGCGACTGCATTATTTGTCCCTGGCGTCGCGCGGCAGTGCAACGGAGACCGCGGTATCGGATGAGTCGTGTCGAGATGATGGCTCACGCTAAACGGCGCATCGCAATTGTGACGACGGCAGCGTGGCAACGATGACCTATAATGAGGGAGATCAGTTTTGGAGGGAAAGACGCAAGGTGTGCACGAGTCCCACAGGGAGAACGGCTGCCGGATCGAGCCAGACCACAGCTCTGACTGTGGGGGCTGCGATCTGATAATCAGATGGATGGACAGGAACTGTTTCATAATGCTAGGCCCAGATTATCACAGGATGGATCCATTTATAATTCAAATCTGTCAAGAAATTACAGGTTTTTTTATGACGCTGTCTTTCAGTTGTCATTATTGACTGTGAGGCAGTGTCAGATCGGGGCTGACGCTCAGTTAGTCAGACCTCTGGCTGACCTTTTTGCTCAGGCACTTACAGAGGACACACGAGATCTGTGACGTCAGACATGGGAAAAAGGCCACCGTGTTCAGGACAGAGGCGCTTTTTTTTTTTTTTTTTGGTTTAATTTGTGCTTTAATTGGCACGGTGCAGGCCCGTACCCGACTGCACGCCTCCCGGATCCAGTCTGGCATCGTCTCTGGAAACGGATTCTGTGCCGTGTGGCCGGTGAATCAGCGGCAGATTCGAGACGGAGGTGCCGATTGGGAGAGGGTGAAAGTTGCCGTGACTACGCCTCGCGGGGACAGTGCTCCTCCGACACCACTCCCAGCCACTTCATCCTCGCCAAACCATGAGCTTCCATCCTCATCGCCTAGGAAACGATGCTGAGTGCTTGTCTCCCCCCTCCTAGCACACACACACACACACACACACACATGCACTGTACATCCTCAGCTAGAAGAGGTGCTGTTTCCATGCTTAAGACTCCCTGATGCTGCAAGCTGTGTTGTACCAGTGTCGGCAGGTGTCTGTCTGATGGCCTTAGTAGTGAAAAACAGGTAGCCCCCCTAGGCCTGCTGATGGAACAGCCCCCCCCCCCCCCACCGGCTTCCTGGCATTTAAGCATGGCAAACGTCGATGGCGGCGATAAAGAGCGAGGGTGACCGTCCATCCCCCCCCCCCCAGTCTCATGACACGTTCTCATGCAGTGGCACATAAATCTGACGGGAAGCACAGAGTGATGTACATGGGGAGGAGGATTCTTCAGGTATGAGCTTCTTACCCCTGCCCTGGTGTCGCTGGGCCATATATGGTCAAAGGAAGTGGTGATTGTGTGAGGGGGTGTGGCTTATAATGAACTGTGGATACAGAGATATAAATAAAGCAATGGATTTCACACAGGCACCTTTAAGAAGCTGGAGGGGGTTGCCGGGGGGGGCGAAATACATCATTTAAATAGAGGCTTCTGCAGTTGCCTGGCTACTGACGGCACTGTTTGGTTGGTCCTGCCTGTTGCTTGTCTCTTGGTCTCCCACGGCAGCGGTGGACGGAGGGGCGGGGGGAGGGGGAGGGGGGAGTCTCGCTCTCTCTCTGCTTTTAAGGGAGACAACGAGCAGCACCAAAACACAGGGGACCCAGAGATGGACGCAGATGTTCTGGAGTGGGTCACCGCGGGTGACGTCGCTGGGAAGGTAGGCCAGGAGGATGTCGCTCGGTGGTTCTGTTGGGTTGGCCGGCTGGGTCTGGGCCTGGTTTTGGGCTGTTGTGTCGAGCTTGGAGGCTGGTGGGGGAGGGGGCCGTGTGGGGTGAGTGGGTTTGTGTCAGGACGCAGTGCGACCTGTCAGGCCGGAGAGCAGATGAGACCAGATCCGTTTGGCCCTTGCCAGTGAGTCACTGCTCTTAGTGTTCGGGGGGGGGTCTCAGTTTGTGTCGCCCTGACATAGAGGCTCATGCTAAGCCCCCCCAGAGATGCAAGTGCTGCCTTTCCTCAGCGCAAACATCACGTTCATTACCAGCATATTTTAATAAGGACGAGCCATCCTTAAGAGAGCAAACAGCTTTTCGCCTTTGTTTTGTGTCATTTGGCTGATGATGTATATTTAGCAAATAACATTGAGTGTCAGAGCTCATCTGATTATTAACCATCTGCTCCTGCTGTTAACTGTTCCTCATTTTTCTCACAACAATCCCTCAAGAAAAAGGGCCGTGGCCTGCGGAAGGAGAGCTGGATGATATCTCATGTCCCTGACTGTGAGATCACGTTCTGATGGTATTTTTAAAGGAGCAGACTTTCTTTTATTTCCCGGCCCATCTTTTTGTGTGTCTTCTTGATTTACTGCAAGATTTGCCACATTCCCCTGAATGGGTCTTCAGAACAGTTACACACAGGAATTATTTTCTTGAGCCTACTTAGTCAAAAGCTGAATACATCTATTACTGAAGCTTTAAATTGTAACACAGGCAAAAACACGCATACTATCATGTCCAGCATAATTTGCATGAGGTATGTGCTCATACAGTTCCAGACAATATGGGTGATTATGGAACAATCGCTGCTTTATATACAGACATTACCGCATATACAATGCAACATTAATTCTTTATCTAGGGAATGTGTGTGTTGGGTTTGGGTTTGTCATGTGTCCCATTACGAACTGCCATTCCATCCAGACCCTACCTTGAGCCATGTGCTTCCCAGTATAGACTGACCGATGGAGAAATATTTCCAGAAAGAAAACTAAGTTAACACCTTTGCTTCTAAGTGTATTAATTCTGAAGAGCTTGTAGTCTCCAACTCAGTTTCTTAAACCCTAAACCAGATGCGATCTTTTTTAAAACTTGAAAAATGACATAAGTAATGGATCAGTCTGGGTTTCCTATCTTGTGAAAAGTCACATGACTCTGAAATTAGTCAACAGTTACGAAAGCCAAACCAGCAGCTTGAGAGAAAGAAGATTCCCGACTAGCCTAAGAAATCGTGTTTACTACCTGAATCCACAACCACGGAAAAATTTTGAAGTTCTGTTTCCAGACATCCTCTTCACCAGTGATTAATGAGATTTATCTGTGATGTTAAAGCAGAAAATGACTGCATTGCAGCACAAGCTCCTTGACACAACACGCAGTTAGCCCGTGTTAGCCCAGACTAACGACTGTCAACGGCTGCCCATGTCCCCAGGTGAATATGCCGCAGGTGAAACAGGTGGGCCTGCTTGCCGCAGGCTGCCAACCCTGGAACAAGGATGTCTGCGCAGCCAGTGGGGACAGATTTGCATATTGTGCGACGCTTGCTATATATGTGTACCAGGTAAGGGTGCCTATTAGGGACAAACAGAGCGTTTTTGCAAACGTGGTTGATAAACGAGTTGAGACAGCGTTGTGGCTTCCACGTCCTCACGGTCACGCTGAACATTCTCCAGCTCGATCACAGGTACAATGAGTTCAAGCTGAGAGCCATCATGTCCGAGCACAAGAAGACTATTACAGCCATATCGTGGTGCCCACACAACCCCGACGTCTTCGCCAGTGCCAGTGCTGACAACCTGCTCATCGTCTGGAACGTGCCGGAGCAGAAGGCAGTGACGAGGCTTGACAACACCAAAGGTGTGTGTGTGTTTGAATGCTGGCACATTTGTCTGTGTCTGGCTGCGTCTCACGTTCCACAACACCCCACTCCCCAGGGATACCCGCTTCCCTGAGCTGGTGCTGGAACGCTGGGGATGCAGTTGCCTTCGTATCCCACCGGGGCCCCCTTTACGTGTGGACCATCTCCGGGCTGGACGCTGGCGTCGTCGTGCACAAGGAGGCCCACAGCTTCCTCTCAGACATCTGCTTGTTCCGCTGGCACCCACTGAAGAAGGGCAAAGTGGTGTTTGGGCACACAGATGGCAGCCTGTCCATTTTCCAGCCGGGTGAGGGACTGAAATGCACAGCAGCACCTGTGCGATCCAGTGTGCAATTGCTCAACTTCGGGTTTCTCTCCCACAACACTTCAGTGGAAGCTGTAGTTACTGATGTACAGGAGTGTTTCTGTAACCAATAATTCTTTCGTTCACTGGCCTGGTAACTGTTAACTCAACCTCAGGAGATGTGGTGTACTCTCAGAAAAAAAGTGTAAAGATGTGTACCTTTGCTTGGCACTGGGGCTGTACCCTCAAGGGTCTGCCAATTGTACCCTTAGCAGTAGGTAATTGTACCTTTTAAGGCACAGGACTCTAGGGAACTTTTCTGTATCATTGATGGTACATTAATGCTGTTTGTACTTTTTGGATGTTCCTCAGAGTCCATTTCTGTACCTTAAAAGGTACAATTACAAAAGTACAGCCACAGGGATAAGCAAAGGTATACATTTTTACAGTTTTTTTCTGAGAGTGTTTGGGAAGAAGAACGTGAAAAGCTGATACCAAACCATAATCATTAGATGATTAGATTAGGCTCATGAAAACTTAAAATCCTGCTTATAGACAAAGATGCTGGTTTTGGGTTGTTCTGGGAATGTACTGAAATTCCTTCTAAAGTCTGGAACACATCAAGCCGATATTTGGCCATTGGAAGCAATTGGGCTGTTTGAGTCAGTGGCTACCTGTTGGGCCAGTGTCTGTGTGACATGGTCGGTCCCAGTCGGCGCTGTTTTGGCCTATTTAGCATGTTGAACTCACCTTCAAAGCTAGTCGGTGAAACTGAGCTCTCTGACTGGGTTGTATGTCAGCCATCATCTTTAGCCATTCCAGTGTGTTTCAGCTCAAATCAATGGAATCTGACGGGAGACGCACTGCTTCACAGCAGAAGTCTGGTTTGCAGTAATTCGTTAATCATAATTGGCTAATTGGTGCAATAAGCACCAGTTTATTTTTGTTTGGTTTCATTTGCTTTTGTTTGCTTCAATTTGGTCCTGCAGGATCCAAAAACCAGAAGCATGTCCTGCGGCCAGAGTCACTCGAGGGCAGCGATGAGGAGGACCCAGTGACGGCGCTGGAGTGGGACCCACTCTCCACCGATTACCTGCTGGTGGCCAACCTGCACAATGGCATCCGATTGGTTGATTCGGAGTCCCTGACCTGCATTACTACCTTCTGCCTTCCCAGCTCTGCTGCCTCTGTGCAGTGCTTGGCCTGGGTGCCCAGCGCCCCCGGCATGTTCATCACGGGGGGTAGGTGCTGCTCCAAGGCTTCTTCTAACTCTACACCGGAAGTCTCTCACTACCAAAAGTTTACAGAAACCCATTGAATATGGAGGGTCTTGTAGGTATAGACCGGAAGTAGGTACAGTGATCAAGAAGCACAGACACAGTGCCTCACAAAAATGTTATAAGGGCAGAAAGAAAAATGATTGGTTCTGAGAGATAGCCAATCAGATTGTAGAGGAGGTGAGACCAACCAATCAGCTGTCTTGTTTCTGCCTCCTCTACTTGCTTCAACCCACCTCTTCTTCAATCTGATCGGTTATCTTTCTGAACCAATCATTTTTTGTTTTGCCCTCAGAACATTTTTGTGTTAGTAAAACTCCCAGCCGCTATATAAAGTGTACAAACAAGCTAGTAAGTCACATAATAGTTGGCAATGAACAAACCTTGGCAAATTCAATGGTTCCAACTCTCATGCCAGACAGCTAATACTCTTTCTAAGCACGAGATAATCAATTGTTTTAAATGAGTTTTTTTTCCAGATTCACAGGTGGGAGTACTGAGGGTGTGGAATGTGTCCAGAACGACCCCACTGGACAATTTCAAGCTGAAGAAGACCGGCTTCCACACCCTGCACGTACTGAACTCTCCACCTGCCAAAAAAAGCAAGTAGCTAAAGAGCAGGCCGCCTGGGAATGGCCCAGGGTTTCCCACGGGGCACCTTGTCTCTCTAACACGTTTAATATCAACATTTGAACATCCTGCCTCCGTTGTAAGATTGTAACTTGGCGACTTCATTCACTTCCTCTTTCCTCTCGGCCGTCCTGTGAAAACGGGCGCTGGTTGTCCAACCCCCATTCCCACAGCCTTCGTCGCCGTTTCCCCCACCAAGAACCACCACACGTCATCCACCAGTGAGGCCGTGCCCCCGCCGACGTTGTGCCAGAACCATGCCTTCTCGCTGCCGCCAGGTCATGTGGTCTGTTGCTTCATGGACGGCGGTGTGGGCCTGTACGACATGGGGGCCAAGAAGTGGGACTTTCTCAGGGACTTGGTACGGAAGCCTAGCCAGACCAAACAACCCTCCCGATATATACTGTCTATGTAACGAGCAACCAGTTAATATCACAGCTGCTCTTATACTAAATATTAATTTGTACCATAAACAAATCATAAAGCTATACGCACCCTGCATTTCAGTGGTAGCAAACTGATGTTACTTTATTGGCCAGCAGGGAACTTCACAATTTAGGACACATACTTACAGCTTGATGGTTGATAGGTTAAGTTTATAAACAGAGGTTATCATTATTTATGATTGTTACTATTGACAAAGTGAGATATTCTGACGCTTAGGGGCATGTGGAGACCATATTCGACTGCAAGTTCAAACCGGATGACCCAAATCTGCTTGCAACGGCATCGTTTGATGGGACAATAAAGGTGTGGGACATTAACACTCTGACGGCTGTGTACACATCACCTGGGAATGAGGGCGTGGTCTACTCGCTCTCCTGGGCCCCAGGTAAGGGTGACACATTACTTTGGGGGGCTGTTTTTATCACGATTAAGACGACGAGGGTGAGGAGGATTCCTGAATGCTGATACTGCATGTGTTCGGTTAAAGGTGACCTGAACTGCATTGCCGGGGCCACGTCAAGGAATGGCGGTTTCATTTGGGATGTGAAAAAAGGCAAAATGATCACAAGATTTAATGAGGTGCGTTCCAGCGTCTTCCAAATCCCTCGCCTTCTAGTGTTGTGGGTATTTGTTAACTAATTACACTGGTCAACAATTTTTTACTTTGTTTTTGTCACACGATCCAAAATAGGTGAAACTTACAGCACTTTCGGGGCAGCACGTGGCTCAGTGGGCTAAGGCTGTGTGCCTGTGATTGGAGGGTCGCCGGTTCGAACGCAGCTTTGGCACGTCTGCGGGTCCTTCAGCAAGGCCCTTGACCTCCAGCTCCCTGGGCGCCACACGAGGTGGCTGCCCTTCATGGCCAGCTTACTCTTGCCTATAAAGAGCAAATTGGGGGAGGCATAAAGAGAATTTCCCCACGGGGATCAATAAAGTATCAGTAATTATTATGAATTCAAATATCTAACTGGAATTTCCCTATCATGTAAAGATTTTGAGTGACAAACAATAAAACTTTATGTTAAATGTATATTTACAGTATATGTGCATGATAGAAGTGACTCATTTAAATGGTAGAAATGCATTTGGCCTCAGGAACAACCCTCTTAAGGCTCCAGCAGAAGTCATCCAGCACACTGGGACTCCGCCTGCTTTGATAATATTTTTCCAGGATTGTTTTTCAACATATGTTACAGCCTGTAAACTGTGGCAAATCAGACTTACAGTGCTTTTAACTGTTCTGTAAAGTCTTAAAATGTTTCAAAATAGAAATCATTTTTCCTAAATTAAACCTTAATATACTCATGCATAGGGGTGGCATGGTGGTGCAGTAGTTAGTGCTGTTACCTCTGGGACCTAGGTTCGAGTCTCCGCTTGGGTCACATGTGTGTGGAGTTTGCATGTTCTCCCCATGTCGTCGTGGGGTTTCCTCCGGGTACTCTGGTTTCCCCCCACAGTCCAAAGACATGCTGAGGCTAATTGGCGTTGCTAAATTGCCCTATTAGCCTGCATGTGTGAGTGAATGGTGTGTGAGTGTGCCCTGCGATGGGCTGGCCCCCCATCCAGGGTTGTTCCCTGCCTCATGCCTGTTGCTTCTGGGATAGGCTCCGGACCCCCCGCGACCCAGTAGGATAAGCAGGTTGGACAATGGATTTTTAATAAGGAGTGATATACTATTGATATATCCTAAACATGATATCACTCAAAAACTATGGGTGAATTCTGAAATCAGCATAAAAAAGACAGCCATTAGTTGTTCTGTGACAAAATCTTTGTGCATCAGTGGTGTATGGATGATACTGGAAAGAACATAATGTACACCAAAGAGGCAGTGATTTCACAGCCAGGATACGTAGGTATGTAAGTAGCATTTCATCAGATGAAGATGAACCCCTTGTTCCTCTTGAAAGCATGGGAAGAATGGGATCTTCTGCATCGCATGGAGCCACAAAGACTCCAAGAGAATAGCCACGTGCAGCGGCGACGGGTTCTGGTGAGTATCCCATGTCTCGAGTGTCTTTTGCTTGTTCCTGTGTTCCTACGCAAACGTCTTCCCCGTTTCTTTTCCCCCACCAACCGAAGCATCATCCGCACCATCGACGGGAAGGTGCTGCACAGATACAAGCACCCGGCGGCTGTGTTTGGCTGTGATTGGAGCCAAAACAACAAGTGAGTGGCCTGACTGACACACACGGGTGAGAGGCAGAATGCCTTGCCAGCCAACACAACTGTCACAACAAAATGTCAGCGACATTCTCAGTCTGCCTTACAAGCGATACCCAGAATGTCACACTGAGGAACATGCTGAGCTCTGTACAAGAAGTTGTCAAAACCTCATGTCAAAGTTCTTCTGAATTTGGAACAATTTTTACTCTTTAAAACAAACGTTTCTTACGAAATATCTCAGTTGTTTCATTTAATTTTGTCTGCTGCCCTTTTTTTCACCATTGCAAATGTTATTTCGTGGTTGTTTTGTCTCATAGTTGTTTCCATGGTTGCCTTTCTGTAGAGACATGATTGCCACGGGCTGTGAGGATAAGAACGTGCGAGTGTATTACCTGGCCACCAGCTCAGACCAGCCACTCAAGGTGTTCACCGGACACACGGCCAAGGTGTTCCACGTGCGCTGGTCACCCCTCCGGGAGGGCATCCTCTGCAGTGGCTCCGATGATGGGTAAGAGGGACAGGTATCAACTGCGCGGCCCTTGATCATGGCTTAATGAGCACAGAACTTCTCACAGCTCTGATGAACATTTTCATTCCAAAATGTTGCGGGAAATTCTGAAACTGTTTCACACAATTATTGCACCGCAGCAATCATTTATTGTACTCCAAAAATATTTCCCTTTTTTGTTCAGCATTGATAGTCATGATGTACCATCCTGTTATCATAATTCAGGTTCTCCTTCACCTCACATTCCACGGGTTTAACTTTCAGTTCCATTAACTGTCCGTCGAGTAACCCAGTGCCACCTTTTGGCATGAAATGCAGGACGGTACGGATCTGGGACTACACCCAGGACGCATGCATCAGTGTGCTTAGTGGGCACAGTGCCCCCGTGCGTGGCCTCATGTGGAACACGGAGGTCCCGTATCTGCTGATCTCAGGCAGCTGGGACTACACAATCCGCGTGTGGGACACTCGGGATGGCACATGCCTGGACACCGTCTACGACCATGGTGCTGATGTCTATGGTAAGACAATGCAGATCTCCTGTGGGGGACCCAATCCCAGGTTGGAGGAGGAAACAATTCTGTTATTTTCAAACATTGGTCATATATCTAATTAGGCTAAGGTTGAGGAGTATGCACTGCTGCAGCTGGTTGCCATCCCGGGTGTGACGGTATACTGCATCTGGCCCTGTAAGCGGTACTTCAGCTTGCAGGGAAAAATTTGGGTGTTGGTGGCAGGATTGGCAGTCCAGCCACTGTAAAAAAAACTTCACGACAGCTCCAACCAAACAGACATGACACCCTTCTGCTCTCCGCGGGAGTAGCTCTGCTGCAGCTGCCCACAGAAGGGCTGCACACACCATGAAGGGGATGGGGGAAAGCCTTCGGGAACCTCATCCCAGGAAGTGTCGAGACCGCTGGAGAGCTAATAGGGTCAGGCCTGTTGGGGATCGGAACTGGTATGGTACTGAGGAGTCACCCATTGCAATTGGGCCCCAGTCTGAGGCGGCCCATCCTGGTAGGGACGTGGAATGTCTTGGTTCTCCAGCAAGATCACCATCTTTCTCTGCTGTTGGAGTAGCTTTGTAAACTCCGCATTTCAGTGGTGGCACTCTCTGAAGTACGCAGACGGAGGAGTGGCCAGATCTCTATGTTTTGGTCTGGTTACTCTGATGACTGTCATACTCAGGAAGTAGCTGTTGCTGTGGTGGTGTCAGATATCATTCCTTTCAATAAGCGCATCATGAGACTGAGGCTAAGGCACTCTTTGGGTTTCCTGTTTTGTCTGTTGTCTCAGTGTATGCTCTGATCATGGTGAGTGATGTCTCATTGAGAAAGACATTTTATTCACAATTTTGCTCTGTGGTTGATGGGTGCCCATGAGGTGACACTCCTCTGGTCATTGGTGACTTCAGTGCAACCACTGGCACTTGACTAGGCTGGCTATGAGGATTGTGTCGGACCCCACAGATCTGGTGACTGGGGTGAAAGTGGCTCCATGTTCCTTGACTTTTTGAAAGGTCAGGGGCTGCGGGTTGTTGGATCCTGGTTCTAGCACCCTGAGCTGCATCGTTGGACTTGGTAATTCAATACTTTTGGTGCGGCGAAGGAGATCAATTACTTCCTCGTGGGCAGATGCTGGAGGCTCCTGCAGAACTCCAGGGTCTACAGAAGTGCCCAGTTTGTGAATTCTGACCACAGACTGTTGCTACTTTGAAGATTCAGCTTAGATCCAGTACTAGTTACCACATACTAGTAGAATGAGGCTGGACTTGGCCAGACTCCAAGATCAAGCTGTTTCTGATGAAGCTGTTTTGCACTGCAGTTTGTGTGAGAAACTTGCAGACTTGGGTGCGATTGCAGATTCTAATGTGATGTGGGAGACTTGCCATGAGAAGACCCCGAAGGTTGCTGAGAATTATTTTGGGGATGCTGGTGTTTCACCTCGCAGGGCACCCTGGATATTATCGAGAGGAGTCGCAGAGCACGATTTGATAGCAACACCAGTCCATACTGGGAACTGAGGAGGCCAGCTGTGAGGACTCTGAGGACAGATAAGGAGGTGTTTGTTAGAGGAATCTGTGAGCAGGTGACACACCATCTGTGGTTTACTAATCCACATCGTACTTACAGAGGAATCAAAGCAGTACGCACATCTGAATGTGTTTCTAAGAGAGTCATAGTCAAGGCAGGTGATGGAACGGTCCTTATGGATGACATTGCAGTTGTGACCCGCTGTGCTGGCTACTTTAAGCAGCTGATTAAAGTTGATCCTCCAATTAAGACTTTGGACATCTCCACAGTTCTTGAGGCTAGTCCTCCGATCAACTGTAAAGCACCCAGTCTCACCGAGATTGAATGGGTGGTAAATCAGCTGGGGGTAGGGAAGGCCGCAGGGATCTGTGGTTTCCTGGGTGAACTTCTCCAGGCTGGTGGTAAGGCTGTCCTCTTGGCATTGCAGGCAAACTTTGGTTCCATTTGGTTTATCCCAACTCACTGGAAAATGGGACTCTTTCTGGAAGTGGATGGGTGATTGTGGCAACTCCAGGGGTATAACACTGCTGTCAGTGCTGGGTAAGGTCCTTGCTAGGGTCATCCTTAACAGGATCTGTGATCACTTGCTCACCAACCAGTGACCAGAGCAGTCTGGTTTTATGAATAAAAAGTCTACCAGCGACGGCATCCTGGCACTGAGGGTTCTCATTGAGCGCAAACGCAAATATCGGCAGAGGTTCTTTGCAGCCTTTGACGATTTTCATAAAGTGTTTGACTCAGTTGATTGAGCTGCCCTGTCAGACATCCTGAGACTTTGTGGGATCCCCCCAAAGTTTCTGGACGTCATGGCTGGCCTGTACACTGGTATAGTGAGTGTTGTGCAGAGTGCAGGGAGAACCTCTGCGTTCTTTCCAGTTGATTCTGGGGTTCATCAGGAGTGTGTTCTTGCTTCTTCTCTATTCAATGCTTGCATGGACTGGGTGTTCGGGCAGGGTCATGGAGTCAAGTGGCTCTGGAGCACCTGTTGGTGAAGAAAGATTCACTGATCTTGACTTTGCCAGTGATGCTGTGAACTTCGCAGAGTCTATGGAGGCCCTGATCGGGGTTCTCGAGAGACTGAGCGAGGAATCTGGGTGTCTGGGCTTGCGAGTCTCCTGGATAAAAATTAAGATCCAGGCCTTTAATGACTTCTTGGGCGCAGCCTTCAGTAGTGTGTCTGTCTGCTGAGAGAATGTCGACCTCGTCGAGAGGTTCACTTACCTCGGCAGTGACACTCATGTCTCTGGTGACTCTTCCTATGTAGTCAGGAGACAGATTGGAAGAACATGGGTGGTCATGAGGTCACTGGAAAGGAGTGTGTGGTGCTCCCGATAAGGTCCAAGTCTCCAAGTCCTGGTGCTCCTTGTGTTGCTGTGTGGCTGTGAGACATGGATGCTTTCCGATGAGCTGAGACGAAGACTGGACTCCTTCAGTACTATGTCTCCTCAAATAATTCTTGGATACCGCTTGTTTGTGTCGAATGAGCAGTTACTAGGGGAGCTCTGAATGAATCACATTACCTGCTTTGTGAGGGAGCATCAGTTACATCACTACGGCCGTGTGGTGCAATTCCCTGAGGGTGATCCGGCTCGCAAGATCCTCTTTGCTGAGGACCCGAGCGACTGAACCAGGCAGATGGATGGGATTGGATCTGCCTGTGGGGTCAGCAGCCAGGATCCTGAGGTGTTTCATCATGTGGTGGGTGTGGCAATGTGCTGCACCAGTGCATGCTCCCCAAACCCAATTAGGCTAAATAATGAAATTATTAATTATTAAGCAGTCTAAACAAACATTTTAATTAGAACTATGCAACCTAGGAAAAAATATTCATGTTTTTTGAGATATACTGTGGAGGATGGATTTCGCCACATTCTGGTAATGTGGGCAGATCGTGATTAAAGACGGCATTGTGTGTGCTGTGTTGCTACAGGCCTCACCTGCCATGCCAGCCGGCCCTTCACTATGGCTTCCTGCTCTCGAGACTCCACCGTGAGGCTGTGGTCGCTCACGCCCCTCATCGCCCCACTCCTGGTCAATATCTTGGCCGATCACAGTTGGGATGACATCATGGGCAACACCGGTAAGCCTTCTGAGGCTGCTTCTCACACAGCAATGAGACTGAAATAGTAATTATAAAAATCCGGTTCATGTAGTGTAATTTGGTTAGTCACTATAGGCTAGCTCTGTAGCTTCAGAACAACAACTAAACTAGTCCTCAACTAGATCAAAGTTAGGAGAGTTAAATTATTATAAATGGTTGCTACTTATTTACTACCAGCCATTTTTATTGTTACGACCAGCTCGAGCCACAACGTAAAATGAGGCAAACACAAGATAGTGTAGCTCAATGTTGAGTTTATTGTAGAAAGGAAAAAAAAAACAGTAAAGATGTCTAGGGGAAGGAAAATGGATCTGTGAGTTGGGTATGCATGTGTATATATGTAGTCTTAATTGAAAAATGAAAAATGAGAGAGAATCCAAGGGAGGAGCTGTAGGGCTCTTAATACGCCAGGTGGATAGTATGAGAGAATGATGAGACCTATTGCTACTCCAACTCCTCCAACCACAACACTGCTACCACTGGGCTGATGGGGGTGCAAAGGGATGTATCATCTCTTTCCCCAAAAGGAACTCCACTTCGTAGTCACATTAAGCAAAAATAGGTCTGATGTTGCACCCCTCCCATCACCAAAGTCCAGTCTTCTGCATCCTGGGCCCTAGGTATACAAAGGGGCAGTAGGAGGAAGATGAGAAGGGAGAAAAAAAGCTCACACAGATAAGATATCGGCAACCACATTGTCCTGGCGTCTCATATGCTTAATGATCAGATTGAATGGTTGCAGGATCAATAACCACCATATAACTTCTTGGTTATGATTTTCCATCCAGTAAAGGAACACTAAAAGTTTATGATTGGTGTAAACAACCACAAGATATGGAGATCCCAAATAAATCTCTAAATGTTTGACAGAAAGGACCAGGGCAAAAGCCTCCTGGTCAACAGTGGCATAGCACTGCTGGCAGAATTTAACCTTCCTCGAATAGTAAGAGACGGGGGACTCAATACCATCCTCTCCCACCTGCAAAGGGACAGCTCCATCCCCAAAGTCACTTGCATCTACTACAATTAAAGGGCTGCCCAAAGTTAGGCACAAGCAGCACTGGTGCACTTGCCAACAAGGCCTTAGTTGTTTCAAAAGCCTGCTGACAAGCAGGAGATCTTTGAAAAAATGGTTTAAGGCTCATTATTAAAAAAGTCAAGGATATGACCACAGTAGCAAAGATCTCACAGAATACACAGTAGCACCCCATCATTCCCAAGAACCTTTGCAATTCCTATGATGTATGAGCTCTGGGAAAGAACACATGGCCTCACCTTTGGCATCCATAGGATGCACCTGCCCACCCCAACTATCTTACCAAGGTAAGTCACACTGGCCTTTCCAAGGTCACATTTGGAGAGGTTGATGGTGTGGTTAGCCCTCACAAGACAAATAAAAAGTTGGATAAGTTCAGGATGTTCAGACCAGGAGGAACTATACATTTTCAAGGTAGGCTTCACAGCCTAGCAACCCAAGAAGTATTTTATTGACAAGACACTGGAAAGTCAAAGCATTTCAGACACCAAAAGGGATGACTTTGTACTGTAATAGCCCTTTAGAAGATCGATCTTAGTTACAAACTTTGTGAACTCCACGTCGTCAATGCAATCATTTATCCTTGGCAACAGATAACAATCAGGCTTTGTTATGGCATTAAACCGGTCTGTACAAAATCTGTACGGCCATCATGCTTAACCACAATTCAAAGAGTACTCCAAGGATTACAACTCAACTCAGCTAAATCATTACTTAGCATATAAAATGCCTCTTTTTAAATACTTCTTTTGGGATTGTCCCAGTAGGCATGTTGGTTGATGGGTTGGGCTAACCCCACATCTCAACGTGACACACGTCATGCTCAATGACCAATGTTATACTGGGCACATCAGGGAAGAGAGATGGGAAAGAGTTGATCAGTGCCATGATATCTCTTTTTCCTGCAGCCAAGTAAGCCAAAAAGGCGGCCAAGTCAATAAGCATTTGGGAATTCCTGAACTGTCACTCAAGAACTTCTGCAGAGAGAACAGCAACTACTTCATCACCATGACATACAACATTACATGGCACACTTGTAGATGAGAGACTAGAACACAACTCACCATTATCTGCAGAAACCGCCATTAACCCGACAGTAGTTTCTGGGGAAAGTAAGGTTTTAGGAGCAACAGGAAACAGCTGGTAAGCATGGGGAATCCACATGAGGATAACGAGGGGATGTGGCACATGGAAGGAGCAGACGATCGGGGCAGGACAGGACCCCCCCCAAAGGGCACACCAAGGGCAGCGAAGAGACGCAACCGGGGACACGATGGAACCTAGGGAGACAAAAGCAAAAACATCAATGGAGTATAGGGAACAGCAACTGCACAAAGGACAAACAGGACAAGAAACCAGACAACAACTGAATAAATGCAGAAACGAAGAGGGACACCAAGGACGGGAACATAGAACCAAAGACCAAGGGAGGGGACAATGGAGGAACAACACCAGGGGACACACTAACAGGAGGCACAAAGGTACCAACAGGAAACAAAGGCACAGAGAGGGATGAGGAGGAAACACAGGGGGCACAAAGGGACCAGAAAGGAATAAAGGCACAGAGGGATGGTGAGCAAACACAGGGCCCACAAAGGAACCAGAAGGGAACAACGGTGGAGCAGGACGGGGAGTAAACACAGGGGGCAAGGAAGCAAAGGATGAGGGGAACCGGGGAGCTGGAGGGACCCTTGGTGGGTGTGAGGCAGAGGCCACCAGAGCAGCAGGCGACTGCGAGGCCAGAGCAGGGGCTGAAGGGGACACTGAAGGTGGCGAGGAGGAAGGCAAAGGGGTTGGCGAAGAAGACGAGGAGGGTACCGTAGCCATGGCAGGCGGAGGCGCTGCCACAGCTGACTCAGGTGCAGGCGACCTGCAAGTCGCAGGCGGGGGTCCCACAGGTGTCTGTGGAGCTGAAACCTGGGGGAGAAAGGGTAGGTTAGGAAGTCGACCCTGACGCTGGTGTTCCCTCCCTCTCCGGGAGACCAAGAGATGGGAACTCAGCCGGGATCTGCCACGATGAAGTGGCGGTGACTGGGGTGACCCACTGGGGAGGCCCACTGGGGTAGTCAGGGTAATCCCTGAGGGGTCCCATTCAAGCTCCTCCGCCAGCTCCATCAAGGAGGGAGGAGCGGTGGTCAAGCCATTGGGACCCTCCTCGGGTACATGGACTGGGGCCAAGGTAGCTGGGGACATGGGAGCGAGGTCAGGAACCAGGGGAACTGGATCCAGGGGGACAAATTGGAGGGTCTGGAGCCAAGAGGGCTGCGGCGGAGGGGTCAGGAGCCGGAGGTACTGAGGCCGAGGGGTCAGGAGCCACAGGTACTGGGGCCGGAGGGTCAGGTTGGGACTGGGGCTTCATAGGGTGGCGTGTCAGCCGCTGGGAATGGAACCTCAGGTGCGGGTGCCATGAGGACTGGAGCCTCAGGCATGGGCGCCATGGGGACTGGATCCTCAGGAGGCAGCACGTCAGCTGCCAGTACAGGAACCTTGGGAGATGGTGCGTCGGCCGCCGGGACGGGAACCTCGGGGGACGGCGGGTCTGGCACCATGGGGATGGGAACCTCAGGAGCAGGCAGCTCATTAGCCACTAGGACCAGAACCTCGGAGGTCGGTGCAGGGGCCGCCGGGTCGGGAACCACGGATGGCTGCGCAGGGGCCACCAAGTCAGGAACCTCAGAGGGTGGCGCAGGAGCCGCCAGGTCGGGAACCTCGTAGGGCGGTGCAGGGGCCGCTGGGTCGGGAACCTCGTAGGGCGGTGCTGGGGCCGCCGGGTCGGGAACCTCGGAGGGCGCTGCAGGGGCCACTGGGACAGGGACCTGGGGCAGTGATGCAGGAATCTCCGGGAGTGCAGCTGGAATGGGCGGCACAGGAACCATATGGGGGTGCGGCTGGAGTCTTGATTAAACAAGTTAATGCCACAACCACGGCACTGCTGCAGTCAGACTGATAAGGATGCCAAGGGAGGTAACGTCACTCAAAACTGTGTCTTTACTGTGCCAAAGCAAGATCAAAGATGTTTAATTAGGAAAGGGTATCTGGCTTACATTGGTTCAGCAATATGCAGCGAGATCTGTCCAGTTCCAACTTCACATGAGTGTGAAGTTTGTGCTGCTATCCAGAATTTCCTTCATTCATCCTTTGTGCAGATCGTGCCATGGTTCCGGGTGCCCCACCTCTGCTCTGTGGCAAAGTGTCCAGGGACATCAAGCAGGAGTTGGACAAGCTGAGTGGTGACGTCCGGGTCAAGAAGCTGAGGTGGTTCTCCGAGTGTTTCTCTGTGAGTGCAGCACCCCGACCAGCAACCATTTTCAATATGATATTTAACGCTTGTGACTGGACTCTTTGCAAAACACCTGCTATCCTTTTCATGTTGCTTGAGCACCAGAGGAACTGGCTGTCTTTCTGGGGGTGGGATAAGGAGGTGAGGGAAAGAAAAAGGCGGGAAGGACAGAGACAAAGGTAGAAGAAGAGCGAGTGAGCGACAGGCCACCCCTCAGATCTGCCATGTGAACCAGTGTAGCACATACAGAGACTCAAAGACACTCTACAAGACAGAAAGTTTTCTCTTAGGGCACTTGCTTGTTCTGTGAGCTTGCAGCTCTGTTGGCACAGAAGGACGGGATGTGTGCAACTGGGTTATCTTCACTTCACAGCCTCCTGGAGGCAGCCACAACCTGTGGGACCTGGTGGCGGTGATATCTGGCCAGGACGACAGCCTCCTGCCCCAGGGCTACGGGAATGGCATCATGCACATGAAGCACCTAGTCCGCTTTAAAACTGTGAGTCAGGCAGTTACTTCTGTGGCTGTGCTTTGGGTTTATTTTGGTTACTTGGGCATTTTTTTTGCAATTAATTGTTTTAAGGTAAACAATTAGTACAATGCAGTATATTTTACATAATAAATGACATAGCGTAACTTTATCAGCATGGGGAAAATAGTTTTTCTTTTCTCATGCGAGGTGACCTAAGTGGTCCTATTTCCCTGTCACCAGTCAGAGGCCCAGGAGCTAACGATAGTCAAGATGTCCAAGTTTGGAGGTGGGATCGGTGCGCCAAGCAAAGAGGAGCGGCTGAAGAGGGCAGCGGAGATCCACCTGCGGTTGGGGCAGATCCAGCGTTACTGCGAGCTCATGGTGGAGCTTGGCCAGGTGGAGCTCATGCAGCATGCTTCTCCAGTGGTGTAGTGCCATCGATCATGTAGCTGACAGTTTAAGCCTGTGCTGTGTTTTGCAGTGGGAGAAAGCCTTATCTGTAGCCCCCGGCGTGTCCATGAAGTACTGGAAGAAACTGATGCAGAGGTAATTTTATAGTCTTTCCATCTTATGGTCCGACCCATTTAGAACCAGCTTGACCGCAGAGATGGAGAGTAAGCCGGTGCATCATCAATTTGTCCATTTCATAGATTAAGTTCCCATGGAAGCAAGTAAGAGGCTAAATCATTAAGTTCATTATTATGATTCCACCTCCTGGTGATGACCTTCATCTCCTAACCCACTAACCCACCCGCACTACTGTCACACAGGAGGGCTGACCAGCTCATTCAGGAAGGAGATGATGATGTTATTCCATATTGCATCGCCACGGGTGATGTGAAGAAGCTGGTCAGCTTCTTTACCTCCCGGGGACAGCTGAACGAAGCCCTCGTAGTGGCTCAGGTAGCAGCCTTTTTTACTATTAACCGTACATGTTCCTGTCACCCTCCCTAATTCATTTTTGTCACACTTTCATAAACCATATACACATCACCACCATAATGCATTATACATTTTGCACTTTCAGAAAACAGGTCAAGTATATGTCTCCAGGGTTTAAACCTGCAGCATTTTAGACTATAAACCCGAAAAAGACTGCGCCCTTGATCGTGTTAAACAATAACCGCGCCTTTGATGGTGTTTAAGATTGAACCTGGAAATAATAAACCTTAATAAAGACGCGGATAACAGCTAAAAATTGAACCCGGAAATAACCACGTCTTTGTTAAGGTTTATTAAAGCTAAAGACTGACCCCGGAAATCACCGCGTCTTTGTTAAGGTTTATTAAAGCTAAAGACTGAACCCGGAAATAAAGAAACACCATACATGGCGCG